AAATGGATACATTTCTAGAAGCACATGACCTACCAAAAGTAGAATAGACTGAGGCAGAAAATTTGAACAGACCCATAACAAAGGAAGAAATTAAGTAAGTCATTTAACAAAAAACAAAAACAAAAACAAAAACAAAAAACTCCCCCCTACAAAAAAGTCCTCGCATAAATGGCATTTGAATTCTATCAAACATTCAGAGAAGAACTGACACCTATCTGACTCAAGCTGTTCCAGAATATAGAAAAGGATAGCATACTCCCAAATTCATCCTCTGAAGCAAGTGTAACCCTGATACCAAAACCAGGCAAAGACACCACTAAAAAGGAAAACTACAGACCAGTATCCCTCATGAGTACAGATGCAAAAATCTTCAACAAAATCCTAGCCCAGAGAATATAACACTATATCAAAAAAATAATACACCATGACCAAGTGAGATTCATACTAGGTATGCAAGGATGTTTCAATATTAGAAAAAAATCAACATAACCCATCACATAAATAAAACAAAGGAAAAGAACCACACAATTGTATCAATTGATGCCGAAAAGGCATTTGATAAAACCCAGCATCCATTCCTTATAAAAGCTCTCAGCAAAATAGGAATAGAAGAGAAATTCCTCAGTGTAATAAAGGGCACATATACCAACATTATTCTCAATGGAGAAAAACTGACAGCATTCTCTTTGTGAACAGGTACCAGAAAAGATGCCCTTTATGACCACCCCTATTCAATGTTGTAGTAGAAGTCCTTGTCAGACCAATAAGGCAAGAAAGAGAAGTAAAAGGCATCCAAATTGGTAAAGAAGAAGTAAAACTATTTGCAGATGTTATGACTCTCTATATAGAAAACCCCAAAGACTCAGAAGAAAATAACTGGAACTAATTGAAAGATTTGGCAAAATGGCAGGGTATAAGATCAACATACAAAAATTAGTTATATTCCTTTACATTAACAAAGAGAACTCTGAGAAGTAAATCAGGAAAACAATATCATTTACAGTAACCACCATAAGATGAAGTATATAGGAATATGTCTAATCAGAGACACAAAAGACTTAGGCTAAGAAAACTACAAAACATTATTACAAGAAATCAGAAGAGACCTATATAATGGAAGAATATAGCATGCTCATGGGTAGGAAGACTTAACATCTTGAAAATGCCCATAGTACCCAAAGCAATCTACAGATGTAGTGCAATCCTGATCCAAATTCTGTCATTATTTTTTATTGTTGTTATGTGCTGTCAAGTGGGACCTGACTCATAATGACCCCTCCTTGGGTTTCTGAGGCAGTATCACTACAGAAGTAGATTGCCCAACCTTCCTTCTGAGGAGTGGCTGGTGGGTTTGAACCACAAGCCTTCTAGTTAGCAGTCAAGTGCCTTAGGCACTACGCTACCAGAGCTCATTATTCTTTAGATATGGGAAAATAAATCACTAACTTAATATGGAAGAGAAAGAGACCCCAGATAAGTAAACCACTACTAAAGAAGAACAAAGTAGGAGGCCTCACACTTTCCAATCTCCAAACCTACTACACAGCCATGGTAGTTAAAACAACCTGGTACTGGTACAATGACAGATTCATAGACCAACACAACAGAATTGAAAATGCAGAAGTGAGTCCATCCACCAATGGACAGCTGATCTTTGCTAAAGGTCCAGAATCCGTTCAAGGAAGAAAAGATAGTCTCTTTTAAAAATGGTGTTGGAAAAACTGGATATCCATTTGCAGAAAAATGAAGCAAGGTGCATATCTCACACCATATACAAAATGAACTCAAGTTTGATCAAAGACCTCAATGTAAAACCTATAACTATAAAAACCATTAAAGCAAAAATAGGGAGAAACTTAGGGATCCTAATACATGGCATAAATACTGTATGTGTTTATGATCATGAAACATAAATGAAAATACACAAACATGAGAGGATTAAATAAATGACTGGGAGTTCCTAAAAATTAGACACTTATGTGCATTAATAGATTTCACCAAAAGAGTAAAAAGAGAACCCACAGACTGGAAAACATTTTTGGCAATGGTATATTAGACAAGGGGCTAATCTTTAAAATTTAAAGAAATATTCAACATCTCAACAACAAGAAGACAGATAATCCAATTATGAAATGGACAGAGGACATGAACAGACATTTCACCAAAGAAGACATTTAGGCAGCCAACAAACACATGAAGAAAGCTCACGATCATTAGCTATTAGAGAGATGTAAATCAAAATAACAATGAGACATCTCACCCCAGCCCTAATAACAAAGTTAAAAAAAAAAAAACACTAAAACAAAAAATGAAACCCTCATACACTGTTGGTGAGACTAAAATGGTGCAACACTGTGGGAAATGGTATGGCACGTCACTGAAAAGCTGAATACAGAAATACCATATGATTCAGCAATCCCACTAGTAGGTATATATCCTAAAGAAACAAAGCCATGAGATGAACAGATAGAGGCACACCCATGTTCACTGCAGCACTATTCACATTAGCAAGAAGATGAAAGCAATCCAAATGCAGACCAATGGATGATGGTTAAAAAAACCATGGTACATACGTACAATGGAATACTATGCAATGTTAAAGAACAATGATGAATCTGTGTAACATTTCATAATATGGATGAACCTATAGGACATTATGCTGAGTGAAGTTAGTAGATCACCAAAGGAAAAATATCATGAGACCAGTATTGCAAAAAGTCAAGAAAAGGGTTTCACACAAAAAGAAATATTCTTTGATGGCTATCAGGGGTGGGAAGGTTAGGAAGGGTAAAGCACTAACTAGAGGATAGACAAAAATTAACTAGGGTGAAGGGGAAGGCAATATATAATAAGGGGGAGGTCAACACAAAATGATCAGGGAAAGGAAGAGGCTGAAAGAAGTACAAGACTTAAAGGCAACAGAAGTAAACACAAATTCATAGACAATGCTGCAATAACAGTAATAACAATAATAATCTACGAGTGGCTGTATAGATAGACATGCAAGCTGAACAGGTGTGGAGAGGAGAATGGGACTACACCCATGAAAATATATAGGTTTGACAGAGGCTATTTCTACATATGTATTTATATATGCTACAAATATACCCACGAATATAGTACAGCATGTTGTTAGATACTGATGAGTCACTTCTGACTCATAGTGACCCTATGTACAACAGAATGAAACACTGCCCAGTCCTGCACCATTTTCACAATATATGTTATGCTTGAGCCAATTGTCACAGCCACTGTGTCAATGCGTCTTCTTAAAGGTCTTCCCTTTATGCTGACCCTCTACTTAACCAAACATAATATCCTTCTCCAGGGACTGGTCCCTTCTGACAACATGATCTAAGTATGAGAGATGGAGTCTGGCCATTCTCACTTCTAAGAAAAATTCTGGCTGTACTTCCTCCAAGACAGATTTGTTTGTTCTTCTAGTAGTCCATGGTACATTTGCCAAAATCTGGATTGTGATGTATCAATTCTTCTGCAGTCTTCCTTATTCATTGTCCAGTTCTCATACTGAATATGAGGTGATTGAAAATACCATGGCTTGAGTCAGGTGCACCACAGTCCTCAAAGTGACATCTTTGCTCTTTGAGACTTTTGCAGCAGATTTGCCCAGTGCAATGCATCATTTGATTTCTTGACTGCTGCTGACATGGGTGTTGATTGTGGATCAAAGTGAAACAAAATACTTGATAACTTCAACCTCTTGTTCATTTATCATGAATGCTGCCTAATGGTCCAATTGTGAGGATTTTTTCTCTTTATGTTGAGGTGTACTTACTTTAGAGATGAGGAAATTGAGGCAAAGAGGAGTCACAAATCATAAATGGAAACTTGACAGAGCCTATGTTTGTAACCTCTATATTTAACCCACCTCTTGGGCTGTTAGAGAAGAAAATTGAGAATGATAGAGAGGGACTTGAGGCTCTTATGTCTGAGTGAAGGAAGCAGGATGTAATCTAGAAGTATTGCCAAAGAAGAACCTCAATGAGGAAAGGAAAAAGCTTAACGCTGGATAGAGCCCTGGTAAGTTCCACACAAGTGAGCAGAGGTGGCATTGGCTGTGGAGACAGAAATGGGGTTACCATTGGGTTATTTAATTGAAATTCTACCAGATGTTTAAAAAAGATTGGAGGCCATAAAGTGATGTGGGTTAACATGAATAATTTTATTAAGAAGAGTCTAGGCTGAAGATCTGAAAATTTGGATTAAAAGAAAGTAATGATGGGAGTGCCTAGAAAGTATTTCAAAAAGCTTTTTCAACTTGTGATTTATCTAAAAAAATACATATGCATGCATACATATACATATACATACATGCAAATTTGCATGTATGTATTTATGTTGTATTCTGAGTTTATATGCTCATGTGAATGTCTACTTTTATCTCTCTATATAAAATTTGGATTCTGAAATTCTCTTTTACTGTTGGAAAATATAGTTTTACCTTTGAATGTATTCATTTCCTGGACTGCTATGAAGAAGGTGTGAGAATGTGGCACCACCACAGAAGAGAGAAAAACAAAAGAGGAGACATCTTTGGAAAGGAAATGTTCTGAATTCTTTTGATAGGAATTAACAAAGAAATCTAGTAACAGGGGAGCCAAGTACACTGTCCCATTTAGTCAACTAAATTTAAGTGTAAATTTAGTTGTAAATCAGTTTATTGAAACACTTTCTGCTGAAAGACAGGGACTGAGGAAACCAAAGTTCTATGGGAGGGAGAGGAATGAGAAGTCTTATTAAAGTCTCCAGTGAGTGTACAGTTCTGCTAGTTCTAGAGAAAAATGAGCAGTTTGGGGGTCAAAAGCATGAGCAGTGGCCTCAAGACTTTATCATTTCTATCATGTCAGCTCTATGCTTTTACACATTTTCAAAACAACAGAATTCTTTCATTAGTATTATAGAAATATCTGAAAGATTTTTTTAAAACAACATTTTCACCCAAAACTCCATTTAAGATAAGTTTCGAAATGTAAGTTTACCTGAAAATAGTTCTCAAGCTCCTTTGAAAGAAATTGATAGAAAAGTCCTTTTTCAGTGGGTTCAATTAAGCGATCATGAAATACTCGGGCGGCTTCATGAACAAAGAACAGAGCAGCCATCTCTTTAGAGTTAATAACAGCCTTGTCAGCTTGCAGTAATCCTAGAAGAAGCTATTAGAAATTTAAAAATAACATTTTTTTTTTAACATTAGCAGAGTAAATTTTAAAGCAGCATCTGCAGTAGACTGATAATTTTGTTAAAAAATTTTTTATTTGGATTTGGGAGAAAGTTTATAAAGCAAATTCATTTTCTATACAGCAGTTCATACACACTTTGTTTCATGACATTGACTGTAATTTCCCACAATGTAACAGCTCTCTTCCCACTTCCCCCCCATAATTACCTTCTGTGTGTCCTTCCCTCCATGCACCCCTGCCCCTTTGAGCTGTCTCCCTGTGCAAACACTGCCCTTCTGTTTCCCCATGTTTGATTGCTCCAAGGAGTGTATCTACCTGATTCAAATGTTCTGCCCATATGCCTGTCTATTTTTTTTGCTGGAAGCCACAGGAGTGAGTTTAGTTCCAGACCTGAAGGGTATCTAGGGGCCATGTATAGTCTCAGGGGTCTCATCAGGCTGTATCAGAGCAGCAAATCTGTTCTTTTTTTTTTTTTTTTTTATGATTTTGAGTTCTGTTCCACATTGTTCTCCCACTCTACCCTGGATCTCCTGCACCAATCCCCTTACCAATTGAGCTTGATGTCCCCTGCGACCATGGTACCCAGCCTACAGGTCCAAGTACTCATTCCCTTTGGGTAGCTGGCTGTGGCCAAGAATACACTGATAATTTTTGCAAGATTATGATCATAAAGGGAGCTCTGGTGGTGTAGGGCCTAAGGCATTTGAATGCTAACCAGAAGTCTGGCAGTTCAAACCCACCAGCCACTCCTCAGAAGGAAGATTGGGCAATCTATTTCCATAGAGATACTGCCTCAGAAACCCAAGGAAGGGTCGCTGTGAGTCGGAATTGACTCATGGGCAGTGAGTTTTTTTTTTTTTTTAAATGTTCCTAAAAATCAAAGTAATTATCCAAAGTAAGAATTGCCAGTTTCTCTAAGTGATAACCCAAATTTGTGATGAGACAGACAAGTCACAAGTCAGGGTCAGCTGGCATGGAATTACCCTAAGAGGGAGAGGGTTGCAGTTGTTAAGGTGTGTTTGGCTGCTAACGAAAAGGTCAGCAGTTCAAACCCACCAGCTACTCTGTGGGAGAAAGACATGGCAGTCTGCTTCTGTAAGGATTTACAACCTTGGAAACCCTATGGGACAGTTCTACTCTGTCCTATAGGGTCTCTATGAATTGGAATCAACTCAATTGCAGTGGATTAGGTTTGCTTTTTTAGCATGTCTAGTGAAAACCTTGCTAGGATATGCAAACACACATCTTAACTATGGTACTAGCATGGAGGCAGGGGTTGGTAATGCTATAGAGGTGTCTCTTTATGTTGATATGTTCTAAGGTTCTAAATTTGGATTAAAAGCCTTTATAATCCATTTTCAAAGACTACATATGCTATTTTTGGCTAAAGTCCCACAGGTGAAGGTGAAAGTAATCAAATTCATCAATTTTCTTTCTTAACATTTCAGGTCTCAAAATTATTTGACCAAGGCTGATGTCTAAATCAGCCTCTTGGCATAATTCTCTGGTATGAGATACAAGACTCGTGAAAATTCATGCATATTTATGCATGCATGTTTTCATTTTCTGAGAGAAACAAAAATTATGTAATATCCTTATTACTTCTTTCCCTACTGAGGACCTTAACCAATCAATATCCCAACAGTCATTATTAGTGTCACCATTGCATTCTCTGTGTGGAACTTTTTTTTTTTCAACTTACCCATGGGATAAGTTGCTGATAATAGTAGAACTAACTAACTTGACTTTGACTTTTTTTTCCTTTTAACCATTTAATGTTGACAGAATCAGTTAGAGTAGAGAAATGACAGAAAGAGAAGAGAGAGAGAGAGAGAGAGAGAGAGAGACTCTGAGTTTAGTGAGTAAAATTACATTTCAACTTACATTTGATAATTAAACTAGAGAATGAATTTGAACACAAACCTTAAACAAATCTCGAAGATTAAATATGTATTGACACTTTGCTGGAGTTGGTAACATAGTCTGAAGTACTTGATAGTATATAGCTAGGGAACAACATATGAGTTCATCCTTACTTTTCTGAACATCAGATGCGAAGTTATTTATGGAGAAATACGTTTCCAAATGAGCCTTTAAAAAATTTTTATAGTTTAGTTTGCAAAAAAAAAAAATTCAAGTTTACACTATTTTTAGCTAATGCCTACTAAAGACTTGTGCACTATATTGGAGGATTACCTTCATTAGAAATATTAATAATTGGAATCCATTTTAAACAGGAAAGCTGACTATGAAGAGAGACCCTGGATGTAGCAAATGGGGGTGGGTGGGTGGGAATTCTAATTAATCTGAGTTTGGTGCATGGTCTGGAGGCATGTGCTACATAGTCTCTGGGGACAACTTATATGCACACCAGGTATGCTGGAATTTTTCTACTTCCTTGCTCCCTAATAGATGTTCCTAGAAGGATAAGGTAATAAAATTATTACCTCTGTTTGAATTGGTATACATATATACTTTCTTCTAAATCAAGTTTTCTTGAGGTGTGGATTATTGATCACCTTCTTCCGAATCACTAAGTGATTTTTTAAAAGCATTAAAAAAATTAATCTTTAAAATTTATATTGTAATGAAGAAAAAAACACATTTTGGTTTTGAAAAATTTACTTATCTTGCATTTGATTTATTTTCTTATCATGCTAGATTCAACTTGAGCCTTTTTCCCAGTAAGATATTTCAGAACTTTTTCTCATAGCATTTTCTTTTATTCTACAGGGAATTGAAAACAGCAACTCAATTCTAGCAAAAATCAGGGTGTGCTTGTTAAATAAAAATGTCCTGGAATTCACATGTCCAACATGCATGAAGCATGACCAACATGTGTTCTTTGTACACACAAAATGCTCTGAAATTATTATTTTTTTTATATTTAGAGATGAATTTTAACAATAGGCCAGAAAATATAGGAGAATAAAATCTATCACCTTAAGACAATTTTCTTTAAATGTTAAGTAGTTTTAAATTCTTGTTTTTCAAAGCTTCTCATTTATTTTTTATTTTATGGAATTGAAAATTATTTTTTCAAAATGAAATAAATGTATTACCTGGAAAATCGTATTTAAGGCACTTTGTGGAGGATGAGGTAACACCAGTATGGAAAAATGTTTGAGGAGTCGTGGGCTAATAGTCCTCCTACCAACTGGCGGAGCACAGGCTGCAACTAGAGAGAAATCTTGAATATTCTGTGGGAATAAAAAGCAAGAGTAACTAGATGGATCTGTAGAAAGTGAAAAATATGTACCTGGATGGCACAGAACTGGGCAGTGTTTCGTTCTGTTGTATATAGGGTTGCTAGCAGTCACAGCTGACTCAACAGCATCTAACAACAACACCCCAATGGACAATAGATTTTAAAATATTTAGGCAAGAAGATTAAGAAAGATCTATAAATGGTTTACCATTTATTGTAATAGGGACAAATATGTTAATAAAGAAATCTATCTTCTAAGAAGTAACCCATTCTAAAATGTAATTTTAAGACATGTTACTTCTAGGAAGTCTTCTAAATATCTTCAGGAATAACCCATTTATAAAACAATCATTGGAAAAGAGGCAATATGTTATTGAGGCTAGCAAAGAGGGTTCTGGTGATAAGTGAGAAATTAGAAGAGCCTGGTTAGTGTGTCTCCAGAACGGTCAGAATTGAATTGGGGTGAGAAGATACTTGACTGTGTACCTAAAAAACTAAAAAACCCCAAACTCACTGACATTGAGTCCATTACAACTCATAACAACCCCCTTTGGGTTTCTGAGGCAGTAAATCATTGGAGATAGGTTTCCCAGTTTTCCTTCAGTGGAGTGGCTGGTGGGTTTGAACCACCAATCTTCTGGTTAGCAGTCAAATGCCTTAGGCACTATGCCACCAGAACTCTAGTAGCATCTATTTGACATATCACAGCATTATGAAGCTGGATGGAATCATACAACGGGATGACAGCTTTGTTCCCACCTATGCCTGTACCCAAGGGCACAGACATCCCATATGAGGTCTGCTAAAGCTATTTTCTCATCAGTGCAGGGAACTTCTCTAGGGTTTACATTCCAGGCCCATGTCTAGCCTTTTTTTTCTCTCTCTCTTTTAAGTCCCCTGAATTCTCTCTTAGTGGCTTGCATCTGGATTCTTCCTCTTTGCCTCTGGCTGATGGTTGGTTCAGCCTGACTGGTGTCCAAGGTGATGCCACTTACTAGCCAGTATGCTTCATTCAATATCCTGGGCCCAAGTTGGTCTGAGACATAAGACTGTTTGTAATCCAACTTTTTAATTTCACAGATAAGGAAACTGATCTGACCAGAAAGTTTGCATGGTACAGTCAGTCTGCATCACAGGGCTTGTAATTTCCAGTGAAGAAATCAAATAAATGTGAATAAATACTGAATTTCAACATGGGTCTTGATTTCAACATGCATCCATCAAATTCATTTTAGATAGGCATTTGAGGGAGAAACATGCATCTGAATATTTATTTTTTTAAAGTTAAGCCATTGTTACTTGTTCAATGTAACAAAAATAATTGCACAGGGTACTTACTTGGGATTTTTTTTTTGTTTTTCCTTATGATAAAAGCAACGCTTATGTACCATCAGTAGTTACAAACCAATTCCCATAAAGTCTACTATATTAAAAATTCGAGGTACATACAATGATTTGTAATGACAAACAGGCATTACTTTGAGATGCATATCAAAACATTATTATTACTGTATTACTATGTTAAAGATGTTTTAGTGTAAGTGGAAGTGTTTGTTTAATGTTTTTCATACATAGAAATGTACACTACGTGCTATATACTAAGACAAATATTTGACTAAATGATGTTAGATACAATCCATGCCTAACTGTTTTGACTTACACATTTGACTTAAAGGCAGACTTAAGAACAGAACTTGGGGCAAGATGGCGGACTAGGCAGAAGGACTGCACAGACCCTCTTCAACAAAGAAAAGGGAAACCAATTAACACAGACACAGAAGATAATCTTGGACCCCTGAGCCTTGAAGGAAA